TTCTTACGGCTTGCGCTTCGTATCTACTTCCCATTTTTAACCACCTCGAGTTCATTCATGGTATATACAAGTTCATTGTATTCATGGCACTGCGGCCCAACGCTCGCTAAACCTTTCTAAAACCAAGGAGGTTACACCCAGCGAGTATAACGTAGCAACCCTTTCTTGCCAGATAGTGCTCAATGTACATGCCAATGGCTGCTAATGGTGATCGCAGCTTGCGCGTTAACTAAAAGCCGAATGATCCTGTCTCTCATTTCCCATTAGCAGCCATTGACATGTACATTGAGCACTATTTTTTATTGTTCAACAACGCACAGAAGAAGTCTCTCACCGGCACCACATTGGAGCTCAAAATATTATACTTGTTACATACTACGGGAAACGAACGGGTGACGCTATAAAGAGCTTCACCCCTAAATAGTCAGATTACTGCATGACACTGACACTGATAGCGGTGAACATAGTGTCCGTCGTCGATCAATGGAAAAGCGGCGAAGCATGCGGTATTTATACACTTGCCATAAAATATTCTAGTGTTATCACTAGCAGCGAAGTAGGTTCCAGACTAATCCGAGATGTTTACGAAGTGGGCGCATATCTACAATAATCGTGAACCTGTGAGGCGCAGTTTGCGCTGCGCATTCTAGACTGGCTTTGTGGGCGAAAACCAATCGAAACATAAGTGTATATAAGAAATGCACGTGGCATTGCCCCTTCTCTCTGAAAAATGGCAGATCCCACGTAGAATGGAAAACGATATGAATGAATGAATGAATGAATGAATGAATGAATGAATGAATGAATGAATGAATGAATGAACCGATTTTATATCTGGTGGGATACAAAAAGAGTCTGCGAAATATACGAAGCACGAATGAGGAATGTCAAATAAAATCAGCACAACGTCACGAGACAGACGTGAATCATGCTGTACATGACTTCCATGTCATGAATATTATGTTTTCACGCGTTATTAAATGCGAAGCATTTCTTGGCGAACTTCGGCGACTTTGAGCGTATCTGTCTATCTAGCCATCCACAACTTTTAGCTTTCCTGGCTGTTTTGATGATGGTATCAATACCAAACTTGGTATGATATAACATGACTGAGTGACAAACATGGCTGACTAGTCAAGACATGAAAATTATGACACGTATGTCTGAAATGTCATGATTGACATGTCATGGTCCTGCTGGTCTTGCGGTGGTTTCATTCACACGGTATGTTGCAAAACTGCTATGGTAGGACATGACTGCATGGCGCACACAAGAGACAGACACTAACATCGAAATCATGAAATGCGTGTCATGTAACAACATGACTACATGCCACACTCACGATGTGCTCACAGCCGTTTCGCTAGCTTTGCATATACCGAGATTGCTATTACGGGACGTGAATGGGTGACATAGGTGTATGACTGGTGCAAACATGATAATCATGATATGCGTGTCATGTAACAACATGACTACATGCCATGCTCATGATGCGCTCACGGCCGTTTCGCTAGCTTCTCATGAACGAAATTCGGTATTGCGGGACGTGAATGGATGACGAAGGTATCTGACTGGTGCAAACATGCTGCAAACATGATATCCCCCTAGTAGAGATCAGTGGATCTGCCCACTGACCTTCATTGTGGATCTGCATGCCATATACTCGCAGGTGCGCGCGCGCTGCGTTGCTTTGACGCATGCGCGTTTGAGCGCACGATGCTTCCCTCTGTCACGGAGATAGGCAGACGCGGTGCTGTCTAAGTAACGTCGTCGGCGCGAAATGCAGCATGTCGCGTTTCGCGACGTTTGCTACCGGGCCGCGCTGACGGACGCTTGTCGCGCCGGTCGCGCCTGGCGTCATACTATCGAGTGCCCACGTTTTGCCTGCGCGTGGGTCCACGTTGCGTCGGAATATATTGGGCCCTTCATGACGCACTCGCCGCCGTTGCGTTAGCTCCACATGTACCAAGTTTGGTATCACGGGAAGTGAATAGATGACGAAGGTAAATGACACGTCCAAACCTGATAATCAAAACATCCGTTTCATGTAAAACATGACCACATGCTACGCTCATAGCGTTCTCGCGGCCGTTTCACTAGTTCCACATATACCAAGTTTGGTATTACTTGACGTGAATGGACAATGAGTGTAAATGGCACGTAAACATGATGTCATGACATGGAAGAAATGTACGGAATAATTCACCTCCGCCTCTTAACGTTGTGCTGATTATAAAGTGACCTATCACCCTTCGTCATTTGTGCTTCACATATCATCGATTCCCCCCGTACGTGGAATCTGCCACTTTTTTTACCTTCATCGTGTCACATGCTACCAAATTTGGTATATGTGGAGCTAGCGAAACGGTGGCAAACGTGCTATGAGCATAGAATGTTGTCATGTTCTTACTTGACACGCGTGTCAGGATTATCATATTTGCACCAGTCATATATTTTGTCCTCCAATGACGTCACGTAACACCACATTTGGTGTATGTGGAGCTAGCAAAACGGCCACGAGTGGCCCCGAGCCCGCCATCCGAGTTCCTTCTCCCCGACTACAAAGACACTCGCAATGATAGTGGCGAACAGAGCGTCGGCCATTGATCCACTGACAAGCGGTGAAACGTGTCGGTATTTATTCACTTGCCACTGAATATCCTGCGTTATCTCTAGCAGCGACACAGCCTCCAGAATAATCTGGGGTGTTCACGACGTGACCGTAATCTTAGCAACATGATCTTCAATAATTGTGAAGCTTCTAGAATATCGAGGCGCAGTTTGCCCTGAGCATTCCAGACAGACTTCATGGGCGAAAGCCGGATGAAACATAAGTGTAAATAAGAAACGTGCGTGGCAGTATGAGTAATAAAGCGTTTAAGAACATCAAAGGAACAGCCAGGCGTAACAGAATGCGAATTGCGTAAGGAGTGGGTCATCCAACCTATTCAAAGACCTGTTTTTGATCACCTAAATACTGTGACTTATACCTACTTCCTCCGTAATTCTTCATCATCGTTAGCCACTGCATAAAAAATGCACAAAATTTCTAGCAAGTGTGTAACGGATACCACGTTTCTCAGAAGAATGACGAAGGATAGCATAGTGAATACTAACCTATAGACTGCACAACAATCTTGTTTATTTATGGCGAAGTGGGTACCCAACAAGTGTGCTTGTAGCAGTTACCCAAAGTGTGTCTATAAAAGACTTTGAAAAGGCCTCTCTTCTAGTTTTCGCTGTGGCTGTGCAGCGCGTTTCGCGCACGCCTGGCATTTTTATTTTCTAGTTTGATATGAACCTTACTTTTTTAGTGACTTGTTCGCCAAGGCTAAACATTATAAATCATGTATTGTGCAAAGAAATACTCACTTAGTTGTCTTGCACGTGACGTAAGTCCGCGAGCGCTGCACAGAGTATCGCCGAAGACAAAGCAGTTCTTCCGCGTACATTAAATGTATAAACGGAATGTCAAAAAGGCACCGTACACAGCAAGATATCAACTTCCCCGGCCAAAGACAATTCACTCGCGCTGTTCTATACTCCCCACTCCCGAACTTTGGTGCTTCTCATATCTGATAATAAACGAACGTGCAAAGATTTTCGCTGCAATAAACCTTTGCAGCCCCCCCCCCCCCCCCTCGTCGTCGTCGAAGCTCACAATTGATCCATTTTCGAAACTGCTCGGGCGCATAATAAGCTTTTCGACTGCATTCGTTGGCATAAATGCGCACTATCCTGCGCGTATCCACCCATACGATGTCCGCGCAGATAAATGAACGTAAGCGAAGTTACTGTCGCAATAACACAAATATAGAGCAAAATAAAGCTCGGCTGAAGCCTTTCACTTACAGTGGTAGCTGATAAACTCACTCAAAATCATTAGTGTATCTTGCTCGTTAATTTCGAGCCTCCCTTTGAGGCTAATGAAAAAGCCCGCTGGTGAGCGCTCTCTTCCTGCTCTTGGTGTCCGTCCACTCGGATTTCCGAAAATTTGTTAAGCAAGCAAAAGACCCATTTTAAAAATTGTTTATGTTGATTCATTTCCATCGTAAAAAAATCCTAATGCCCAGTATCTGCTCGAAAGTGTCACTGTTATTCAGTGGACCCAATCAGTTTAAAAGGTCAATTTGACGACTTCCTTATAGTAGATTCGTCCCACATACTGTATCTCCAAAAGTTGTCTATAGCTCATGTCTATGTTTATGCTAGAGTACATAATCCGTACTATGATCCATGCTAAATTTTATGATGTAGTCAGGGGTACAGTCCATTCATAATGAAATATTGGGAGCCTGCCTATCAGCCCTTCTACAGTCTATGTATTCCCCGATATTCTATATAGTGGGATAATCAGGGTGAACAGTGGAAGTACCTCAGACAGGCTGGCCGACGTTCTGATAGGAGGACCTATCTTTCTCAAAGGCGTCGTGTCATCCTTGGCGTGTTAGTTTTAAAGGGGTTAGTAGTGACACAATCCCCTGGTGGTGGCGCGTGTCCCTGTTGATGATCGGCGTCTGAAAATTAAAAAAAAAAGCTAGAAAGAAAGTTAGGTCATCCTATCGAAACGTCGGACAGCCTGTCTGAGGCACTTCCACTGTTCACCCTGATTATTCCACTACGTTGTTTCCATCTGTCGGCTCTAATCTTGCTATCCTATGGCCTCATAAGTTGTATGCGCTATATACCTTCTTGCAACAAACATATCATAGCGACACACGCCAAAATACATATTCATTCGAAGAGGCCGCGATATTTTATGTGAACTTGGCGTATGATGAGAAAGAATATAGCTAAAAACTTGGTGACGAAAATGAAGTGACTCGTGAGCGAAGACCTTATTCGTCAGGCCGCAATTGTGAGCTCAAAGAGCTTGAAGATACGTTACTGCCGTTTATTGTGTCGCTGCCGGAATCAATTAGGAGAATTTGTGGAACACCACAACAAGAGTCATGTTGCAAGGCAAGCGTTGGCAGAGTTCCAATGTAAGGCGTGCTCACCTTTCGCTACGTAGCAGACATGCTCGATCACTTTGACGGGCGAGCAGATCCACTCCAGAAGGTCTGGCATCATTTCCAGGCAGTCAGCGTACGCTTCCACCAGCGGCTTGCGGCATTTCTCGTAAGGCTCGCCCATGCGACGGTTGCACACGTTCACCAGGTTGCGCAGCCACTGGATGGCTCGGCGAATCGCAGCGACTGCGATCAGATGCGCAAACAACAACCTCACACAAGTGAAGTAGAATGTGTGTTGCTGGTCAGTGCATTAGCAGCATGCTAGAATCTTTTATAGACACGATCTACGGCAAAATATCCAGTCTGCTACGCTCTACATTTCCGAAGTGCATGAAAGCCATCATTTTTTTTTCTTTTTTTAGCCGATTTTACTAATCTTGTCTAGAACTACTTTCTCGCCCTGTTGCGCATCCTCTAGTAACCCATGGACCAGACCCAAAGCCCACCCGAAATTTGCGTGGAAGGGGCTGGTTTACCGGAACTAAATAATGAAAATACGAGTCTTTTAAAGCTTTCAACAGTTGCTCTGTTAGAAATAGAGCTCCATTTTTGCGATGCGAAGATAGCAGGCTCAGTGATTGTTATTTCGTATCTTTGCATGTTTCACCTTTTTTGCCACTATTTGTTCTGTTCACTCGCGTATATAAAACAGCCTTCTTGTCAATAAAATCTCAATTGGAAGTCAGCACTTGTTCTGTCTTTTTGTTGTCCACCGTGTGTTAATTTCGCACTGTTAACCTTGATTGATATGTTGGGTTTAACGTCCCGGAACCATCATATGATTATGAGAGACGCCGTAGTGGAGGGCTCCGGAATTTCGACCACCTCGGGTTCTTTAACGTGCACCCAAATCTGAGCACACGGGCCTACAACATTTCCGCCTCCATCGGAAATGCAGCCGCCGCAGCCGGGATACGAACCTGCGACCTGCGGGTCAGCAGCCGAGTACCTTAGCCACTAGACCACTGCGGCGGGGCCGCACTTTAACCTTAAGTAAACCAAAATTTGAGCAGGTTACGGAAAAAAACCATGCATTTTTGTAACAAAAGAATGAATTTGATGCAGTATGAAAACGACCTATAATTAGAAACAAATTATGTAAAAACCATTCAACATTCCTTAAATAGTGCAAAGGGAATACGAGCATTGCCATTTCAATAAAAGAAGTAGTTTGAACCACCCCTCCCACCAAACAATGATGAAGTCCACATTAGCACTTGCCACGCCTGTTGAATGCTTTGAAGGACTCTGAGAATTCAGATGTGGATCGGGCAAGCTGGCGACCTTGAGATTCGGGAAATTTGTGAAAACTGGGGAGCAGGAGGCGGTGAAGAAAAGAAAACCTTGTATTCTTGTATTCTTGTATACCGCTACGCAACGCACCACGGGCTATTCCCCATTCTTTCTCGTCTATAGCTGTCAACCGACATCTCTGCTCGACATCTCCTTTTTTGACGTCCCTGTGAACTCGTCATAGACATCGAGCGAGTACGTAATCTCTCGCCTGGCCGATTGTCACCGACGCGCCCAGCTCATTATAGAGGCAATCCAATAAGAGCGGAAGACTCGCTACGATGGCCTCCACCGCGTAGTTCACTTCATACTGGAGCACTGCTGTGGACCCTAACGCTGGTTCCCGGCCTGTGTGATAAGTCACTCAGGTTTCATCGGCCCCTGCGCCATACTCGAGCACACGTCTCCAATTAACTACCGAGTAACCCGTGTTGTCATGCCTTCCGACAGCCGTTTTCATGGTACAGAGGTTGTTCACGCGTCGCGCTTAAAACCGATCGTGCGACGTACACCACCATCATAAACAGCGGCCACGTTGGCCGTTTCCGCGTGAGGCGGAAATTAGAGTAAGCACAATATTCACAGCGTTTGACCATCTTCTTTGTCTGTGTATAAACATCATGACGAAAAACGTCGTCTTCGTTCGTAGCGTTCATCAGGCGATTCAGCTTAATAAACGCCGTTGCACAACGCTGCTACTGTCTTGCGTTATATATATATATATATATATATATATATATATATATATTATATATATATATATATATATATATATATATATATATATATATATATATATATATATATATATATATATATATATATATATATATATATATATATATATATATATATATAGTGTGAGTAATAATTCAATGGGCCAGTTAGTCTTCGTGAAGCAATAAGATATGGCACAGCGGGAGCGTTGTCAAGAAGGATAAATATATTTATTTCCCAACAGTTTCGGGAGGGGTCCTCCCTTCATCAGGGGATGAGTTATACTAACATGAACTTCCAAACTTCGTTGCAACGAAGTTTGGAAGTTCATATATATATATATATATATATATATATATATATATATATATATATATATATATATATATATATATATATATATATATATATATAGTGTGAGTAATAATTCAATGGGCCAGTTAGTCTTCGTGAAGCAATAAGATATGGCACAGCGGGAGCGTTGTCAAGAAGGATAAATATATTTATTTCCCAACAGTTTCGGGAGGGGTCCTCCCTTCATCAGGGGATGAGTTATACTAACATGAACTTCCAAACTTCGTTGCAACGAAGTTTGGAAGTTCATATATATATATATATATATATATATATATATATATATATATATATATATATATATATATATATATATATATATATATATATATATATATATATATATATATATATAACTTGAGAAGTTAGATATATTGCCTAATGCACACCACAATAACTGGCTTGTGTATACTAACAACACCTGGTCGACAAACAGTTCGAGCATCTGCGCTTATGCCTTGGCAATATGCTGAACAGTGTAATAGCACAACCTCTTTATCTGAAACATTGTCCTCGCTCTACCTTTTCTCCTTTTAAAGAAACAATTACAGCGTACAAATCAAAGGGCAAACGATTTGGTTGCAAAAGCTTGTGCCCTTTATTCTGAACATTAACACAAAAGGGCATAATGGGGCAAATGCTGTCTCAGTAGTTGTTGTTTTTTTATTCCTTCAGCAGTTTCACCTAAGTTATTGTTCCACCTGCGTATAGTGATCAAAGTGAAGGGCATTTTATTACCATGCGTGTGCGTGTGGTTTAAAGACAGCAGGAATAGTACAAACATCGATTTTAGCACACTTCGTTGCTCGTGCATGCTTGTGATCAGAGAGAGTAACGTGATCAAAAAGTTTGCTCCCGAGACACTCATGCTACGTCATTACATATGCATGCTGTTTTCGCCGCCGCGTACCGACTCTACACTTCGTCGCCCGGTATGCAGCGTTACGCTCCACCGAACGATTAGTGATTCTTTCTGCCGTGGCGCACAGTCGATTTAAGAAAGCTTTGTACGTGAAAATCAGCAGCACGTCGAAAACTTCATTAGCGAAGATGCTTGCTACTTGTGTTTATTAGGCTATATAGCCTTCAAAAATTTAGTAGCAAGCGCCCCCCTCTCCATCCCTGTATGTGCTCATAGCAACCTCAAATTACAGGTTGGAACTTACAGAATAAATAAAATAATGTGTAAATAAATACAAGAATCAGTTACTCACACGTGTAAACATTACGCCAGCAATCAGCCTTACGAGCGCACACTGTCTGGTTTGAAAGCAAGACTGTTTAAACTGCGGGGCGTGAATATTTCACGGAGTTTGGCTTTTGGCGGGAGTGTAGAGCCCATGACAAGTGAATTTTTCACGATGCTGGCCGATAGCAGAACCTGCTAGGGCCGCGGATAGGCGAGGCAACTCGAAGCCGACTCGTCACCTTATGCGAACGAGCATTCAATATTTACGGCACGACCCAGAGCTGGGTAAACTTTGTCTTGCATCGGAATCACATCGGCAGGGATGCAACTATAACGTGTATAGTCTCGGGTAGTAATCACCAAAACGAGAGGTAGTCAGAAAGTTCCCATGATAGGCCCCTCCTTCAGCCCAGACGTGATCACCGCTGAAGCGCCTAAAGCAAGGCTGGGAACAGCGTACTATAGACATTACTAAAGGTCGAACTATGCAGGCTTATTTACTGGCTCGCGTTGTAAGCCATGCGAGCACCAAGAACACGGCGATACGTGTAATGCCCCAGCTTCACCGCTTTTGAGCGCTCCTTTGTGGAATACTGCAATGATTGGGAATACAAGTGCAGTGAAGCAAGTCATTGCATCGACGACTGTTAAATTATGCACCACGGAAGCGAGACTGCAGACGCGGTCGGAAGCATCAAACACTAGACAGATTTAGTTGCGCGTCCGTAGCAGCCGTAAGAACGCAACACAGCCTGCTAGCCATTTTCAATTGACAGGCCGTACGGCTGCTGTGGACGCACAAATAAATCTGTCTATTAACGGAATCTGTATACGTAACTCTGCCTTTTCGTATTCCTTTTTCGTGACGCTGCATCATACTGTGCGTATACCCTAGCATGACTTTAAGTCACCCGTAGCTTGATCATATAAAGACATTTTTTCTTCCCAAGTAACTCGACAGTCAAAGCGAAGAACTGGGGGACCTTCAAATCGCCCTTAGGAGTTTAGTGCGATAGCGATATCCTGTCCCCAACCACTTGGCGCATGCTTCTTAATGTGTGATGTTACTCGATAAGTTTAAATTGCAGATCACTACAATGTAACCGATAAAGTTGGAAGTGGCTTGTGTCATTAAAGCATGTGGCTGCATTATGTGTAATGGGCTGCATTATGCTTTCAACAACGAGCGATTGTGCGTGTGAAATGTTTTCGAACTTGCTAGGCACCCACTACACGTGGTCTTGTGGGAGCAAGCGCAGTAAAGGGTGGACGGCTTTAAACCACGAAGTCGTTATCAATTGCTCTAACGCCCGATGGCAATGCACGCTTTTACCACGGCTATATCACCACTAGAACACATGTTGATTGATTTACATGTGGGGTTTAACGTCGCAAAACCACCATATGATTATGAGAGACGCCGTAGTGGAGGGCTCCGAAAATTTCGACCACCTTGGGTTTTTTAACGTGCGCCAAAATCTGAGCACACGGGCCTACAACATTTCCGCCTCCATCGGAAATGCAGCCGCCGCAACCGGCATTCGATCCCGCGACCTTCGGGTCAGCAGCCCAGTACGTTGGCCACTATACCACCACGGTGGGGTGTCGAAAACACACGTTGTACCCTGAA